CCCCCCCCCCCCCCCCCCCGTTCCCATGGGAAAAGTTCGTGACATTTTCCCACGCGGATTTTTTTTCACGGCTCAGCATGCACTTCGAAAGATCCTCTTAAAGCGGAATTTCAGGGAAGAAACGAGAAATGCGGCTCCGATGCAGTCTCCTCGCCTCAAATCCTAATTGAAATTCGGCATTAATTATTAATAAATAGCATCCATTAATGTTCGGTTGAGCATCGATTAACATTTACTAACATTTGAAGGTGACGGCGAGCTTCGGCATTATTTCCCACCCTCAAAAGTAAATTTGGTAATAATGCTCAGCCATTAATTAATTAATCAGAATTAATCGGTTGATCCAAGCTGAAATCGGAAATGAAGGGAAAACGGGCCCAAAACCATCTGGCAATTGAGGCAATTCCGAGGATTCCTTTAGAATTCGGTTCGACCGATTGGAAAAGTTTCGAGGTTGCTCGGAGTCTTCAGGGAATCGCCCTCTTCAAAGTTCGGGAGAGGAATCCGAGGAATCGCCCTTTATAGACGCATTCGTGCAATTAAAGGATTTAAACTATTTTTCTTCCAGTTCGTCGCATTTCGTCGCATTTCGTCGCATTTCGAGGTGGAGATGGCTCAAAGAGGATGAAGAGAATTTTTTCTGCAGCAAACTTACAAATTTCTAATTCACAACTGCCAAAAAAAAATCAGGGGAATGAGGATCTCCATCGAGTCAGCTTAAGTACTAGGTTCAGTACATGGGCGGACTGCGCATCTGAGCGTTTCAGGTGGGAAAGCCCACCAACCTTTTTTTGGGCAGTTTGGTCTTGCAGATTCAAAAGGGCTGAAGGCTTTTTTTTGCATGTAGGATTTTTTTTTGCAAATTCGCACGGATGGTATCTACAATAGCAATCCCTTCAGGAAGAACGAATTTCCAAATTGCATTTATGAAAGTGGCGACAGCAAACTTCAATCCTTTCCGAAAATTTTTAAAAGGAGAAAATTATTATGAATTAATTAATTCTCGGTTTATTCATGAATTTTCCGGAAAGAGTCAGGAATCGGCTCTCAATCGAGATTTCTCCGCGCATGCATACACCCCATGACCCGGATCGGGAGTAATTGCCGGCGCAAGTTAAGGCGTCGATCTCGATTGCCGGCTAATTGCATCCTGCCATTCGTTCGTGGCCAGGCATGCGAAGTGGCTTCCTCTCATCTGCCTCGCAGCTCAACAGGGTGTGGCAAAAAAAAAACACTTGGGATCTTCCCGTCCCATCCCATCTGGTCCCATCTGGTCCCATCTGGTCCCATCCTGTCCCGTCCTATTTGAAAGAGGGATTTTCAATGTGCCAATAAATGCTTAATCTTAAAACTTGATTTAGATCCAGAGTTAAGTAATACGACATAGCGGCATCATTTTAAAATTATCATTTGAGAATGATTCGAGTAATTCCCACGAGGAATAAATCGAACTGATCTGAGAATTCCCAACCGAATGCAGACAAAAATGCGCCTGCGACAACAAGAAGGACTTCATGAATTTCAAGATCTACCCGGACTGTGTGTCGGAGTCCCTCATCGTCGCCACGTCGGAAGTCACCGGTGAGGCATTCATTGTCACTGTTGAAGCATTCATTGTCACCGTTGAAGCATTTATTGTCACCGGTGAGGCATTCATTGTCACCGTTGAAGCATTTATTGTCACCGGTGAGGCATTTATGGTGGCCTTTGTAGGCTTCATCGTAAAATGGTGTCGGGTGGAATTAAACTTGACCAATTTAATCACATTTTGGGTTTAAATGGAATTAAAAGCAAGCTGGTCGAAGCAAGATCCATGTGAAGCCATCCGACGGAATTAACCGACTGATCGATGTAGTGCGAGCCGCCCATTATTTTCTCCCGAATCCACATTAAATTTCTGTCTGAGATGAATGATGGTTCGGTCTGCCTCGGAATGATGGACCGACCCGCGGCCTCTTTCGATCCCGGAACGCATCTGTCACTGACGTGCCCTTAATGAGAAGAGGACGAAAACCGTTCCCCCGAGCGACAAAGCACCTCAAAACATCCGAGTGAAAGCCTTTCTTGGCCAGACGCCGAGTACCTTGCCTCGCGAACCCTTTATTCCCCAGAACTCGGAGGCATTGATGTCTCCTGCAGAGGACACACATCTACAATGGATTCCCCGGAGCCAGCAAACTTACCTTCTGAGACAGGAAACCACGCTTCTTCCTCTCGCTTCGACTCCTCGCGATGCCGGATGGAGCATCCGAGGAGGCGGGAACCAGATGTTCATTTGCATTCCATACGAGCGCTTCTGATGAAACGATCTGCCAGGGAAGAGTGGATGTTCCGAGTGACTCTTCAATAGCCAGGCGATGCAATAACGGAGTCTCTCATGAGATGAAGGACGTTCTCCAGGGTGGCTCATAAAGTCTCTTGCCGAAGGCCCTCTCCCTGGTAATATGGGACCCTGGCCGCTTTTCCTCATCAAATACGATGAAAGACTCATTGGAAGTTGACGAAGTTAAATCTTATTCGGCGGAGAAACGAAACGTTTTTATTTATTTAAATATTTTCATTGTGCTGCCGAAGGGAAATCAAATTTGTCCCCAGCTGTGCAAGATCTGCGAGATCGCTTTACCCAGAGTGTGAAAACTGATCGCAGTCCATTTCTCTCCTCGATATTATTTGAAAAGTCCCTTGGGCAGAAAAATGTATGCCCCCTCGTAGTTCTTAAAGCATTCTTAAAGCATTCGAAATCGCCAACAGTTTCCTCCGTTTCTCCCGTTTTCTCGATTGCGAAAACTGGCAGAATCAATCCTTTTCCCCAGTAGCTCTCCAATGGCAAAAGCTGCCCTAGGAATCTGTCTAGGAAGAAAAATACGACTCGTTTCTCAAAATTGCTTCCGGAATAGGTAATTTTTTCGGTCGAAACTTTCGTCTAGATGGAATTTCACTTGTCTTTACGGGCGATCCAGTCACTTAAAGCTCACTCGAGATAAAATATTGACATTTTGTGACAATGACCAAACCGACATGAAAAAGGATTAAAAGTTATAAGCCTTACTGCTCGAAAGCTCGAGATGAAATAAATAAATAAAAATCTCCCGATCCAGGTCTGACGCCTCAAAGCATCCTGGAGACTTTCGGGGAATACTTCGTCCCGTTCGCCATCGAGAGGGGGTATGGAGACATTTTCCAGACCATGAGCAGGAGCTTCAAGGACTTCGTCGACAACATCGATTACCTCCACTGGTAATTGAATTTTCTCCCAGAAAACTTTCCTCAAATGAAGAATGAATAGCAGTAGTAAAAGATACAGTTGTGTTCAGTCAGTTCAGCTAGATCCAGAAGAAACAATAGCCGATTCGGTTACTTGACCTAAATCACTCAATCTAGAGAATAACGGCCGAGGCGCCATCGCGATTCTATATACGAGCAGGCCACGCGGAAACCACGTGTTCCGAGCCACGCGGAGACCACGTGGTCTGCACCACGTGGAAACCACGTGGGGGAAGACCGACATCCTTCGCGAGTCCAGCTGTTCGCAGGTTCCCTGTTGAAGGGACCTCCCTTTGACTCCCATAGAATATTCGCTGTTTGATGATGCTTTCGCGTCTTGAAATCCCGAGATTCCGAGAAACCTTACTTTGAGAATCCTAAGGGAAATGAGAAAGAGAAACTTTTCAGCTCGTTCTGATGAAACTCTATTCACTCGGATGAGGGAGGAAATCCCTCTCGATTCCTGCAGAATCCGGTGGCAGCGCATGAGAGTCGGCTGCAATCATATTTTCCTGGAAAATGGAAGGTGATGAGTTGCAGATCTCAAGGGCCTTCAAGCGTGAAGGCCCTTGAGGCCCATTTTCAAGGAAAAAAGGATTTTTTTTTATCTTCTCGTTTGCCAACAAGCGATTGGAAACCCGATAGCGAAAAGGGCTCGCTTGCATCTGCATTCATTCATCCACGATGATCGCATAAAAATCGATCGGAAAAAAACTTCCTCCTCCATAAAAAAAAATTCCTGGAATTTTGGTACCTCGGTACTTAAAGGTACCTGATGTCGACCGCGTTCCCCGGCATCTGCTCCCCCTCCTTCAGCTGCTTCGACGACCCGGACCACCGAGGAGGTCTCATCCTCAACTATTACTCCAGGCGGAAAGGGATGCATCATCTCGCCGTCGGTGTGTTCTTTCGTTCCATTCGCACTGAAGGAAATAACTTACCATTGAAAGTAATATTTATTAAATAATATTAATATTTAATTTGAAAAAATAAATGCCGTTTTAAAAATAAATCAATATTGTGAATAAATGAAAATAAATGACCTCGTGGCATTCAATCTGGACGTGTCCAGCGATACTTTCCCCTAAAGTATTTAATTTAAAAGTGTTAGCGAGTGTCAAAATGAAATTTCGAGACGGAATTCAAAACTCACCGCTCTTCCTGGAAGGTCTGATCCGAGAGATCGGGCGGGAACTTTTCCACGTGGAGACCCAATTCCAGCAGCTCCAGTACAAGGAGGAACCCCTGACGGAGGACTCCAGCCTCCAGTGCGTCAAGTACCGGCTCATCCAGATCCACACCGGGATCCCCGGGAACGCCCTGGACGCGGGGACCGGCTCCATCTGGGGAGTGGACCTGCCCGGGGCGCTGTCGCCGGTTCCTACAGGGGAGGATGTCGAGCTGGAGCTGTCTCTGTTGGAGAATGATCTCGACTTCCGCATCTTCGACAAACTTCATCCATATCACATCATCTTCGACAAGTCAGTTGAACCCGAATTCCCTTTTTTTTCGGAATCCAATTCATCCCAGGCCTTCCAAATTTCCCAGGCCCTCCATACCTCCCATGGCCCTCCATACCTCCCAGGCCCTCCATACCTCCCAGGCCCTCCATACCTCCCAGGCCTTCAATGCGGTTTCTCTCCGGTTGACAGGAATCTCCAAGTAGTTCGATGCGGTCCGGGGATCTTGGACCTGTGCCCCGCCGCGAAAACACCCGGCGTGACCTTGACCTCCTTCCTCACCATGACCTGGCCCCGGGTCCCCTTCACCTTGAGCAACATCGAGAGGTTCCTCCGAATCGTCTTCCAGTTTCAGGTCAGGGCGTCCAAGGATGCCACCGACGGCACCGTCATCAAGGGTATGATAGCCTCATAATTATTTTTTACATTCCGGGAAGATATCGCAAATTACTTGTCTCGCTTTTGGTTTCGAGCATTAATATTATTATATTATTTTAAATCATATTATTGCATCTCATCAGACCACAGTGTATTATTTTACATCCCCACGCACCATACCCATCCAAATCCCAACAGTCGATAAAAAAAAAACAATTTAAATCCCCCTCCTGACCGCGAAAAAGAAGAAACGAGCAATGCAAATGAGAAACGAGCAATGCAAACGAGAAACGAGCAATGCAAACCAGAAACGAACATTTCAGGCGAGGTGCTGTGGCTGAACCCAGAGAAGCTGATCCTCGTGGCCAGCCCCGTCGCGCGGGGCCTGAGCGAGCTCTCCACGCTGAGGATGAGGCTCAGCGACATCCCGAGATACGACTCCACGAGGGAGCTCATCCTGCTCAAGCATCAGAGGGCGATCGAGTTCGATCTCATGTGAGGGGGTTCGGTCTCATGTGAAGGGGGTTCGGGCTCATGTGAGGGGGGTTCGATCTCATGTGAGGGGGGTTCGGTCTCATGTGAGGGGGGTTCGAGAGTCTCTGTGGGCCTGCCAAATGGTTTTCGTCGGCTTTGTAAAATGGGATTCTCCCTTCTCTGAAAGGATTGATTGAGGTGCTCACTCCACCGGAGCAAAATTGCTCCATTGAAGAAGCCTCTTAATCCTCATTCAAGTGGAGGAATCTGATAGATGGCGTCATTCGGCTTTCGTGGAAATGCTTCGCCATCGACGATTTTTTTTCCTCGAACGAATCGACCGCTCGGAGGCCCCAAAAACTTAATTAAGTTTAAAGGAACCCTCCAGAGCCTCGAAGAAATGAATTTGCCCTCTCCGCCTCAGGACGAAACTGGAGGAGACGACCGTGCAGCTGCAGGAGACGGCCGAGGAGCTGGAGGCGGAGAAGGACAAGACGGAGCGGCTGCTCACCTCCATCATCCCGGCCAAGGTCGTCAGCCAGCTGAAGGCGGGGCAGAAGGTCCACGAGGACTTCAAGCAAGTAACCAGTCGGTCTCCTCTTTTGCCTCCATTTTTCCAATTTTCGCCCGTGCTGCCTCTAGGAATTAGCGTGGGAAAATTTAATATTTAGTATTTTATTATTAGTATTTGATTATTTGATCATTTGATTGTTTAGTATTTATTTAGTATTTGAGAAAATTTAGTGCAATGTATGGCAGCAGAGATTGACATGTTGTTGCTCGGTGCATGTTGCCACTCGAGAAGGGTTATTCAATTTGAGTTGCATGAAAATCAAGGTCATGAAATCCCTCTCAAAACGTCCACCCCCTATCCACCTGGTCAAACAACCAGGTGGACGTCCAGGTGGAAATCCACCTATCCACGTGCATTTTGAGGCAGGTGGATTTTCCCTCCAGCATGGACATCGCTCCAACAGGTGGAAATTCCGCCTAGGGGGACATCCACCTGGTTCCAAATCCACATGGGAGGTGGACGAATCTTAAGGGATGTCCTTTCTTCCCACCGAGAAGGAGTCGAATCGTTCCGTGACATCCTGCATGAGGTAAATGTCATTTAATTTGTTAACATGTGGGTACATTAGGGTTCTCGATTTCCTATTTATTCACAAACAGGCAACCGACGGCCAACTACCGGTTCACCGTCGGTTAACAGCTGTTCTAAGAACGGCTTCTAAAGAAGGAGAAAACCACGAAGAAAAAGAGGAGACTAGAATCTCCTTGACTCAATTTCCCTCTTTTCTCCTCCTCTCCCCCGTCATTCAGCAGGAGAAAAATGAAAAGTGGCAGAAGGAATGATTGAATTTGATGTATAAGAACCAGTTCGTGCCATACGACAGCCAGAGGCACGTGCCATTCGACTCACCTCCAGGAGGAGACTCGGCATTTAAATTTCCATTTGCCTGCGAGAGAGTTAATTTACCCAGGGGATTGGAGGGCTGTCCTCCGTCGTTGAAGCGATTCCCTCGCCGAGGAACTTCTTGGCGAACTCGACTGGAATGGGGAAACGCGTCTCGTTTCCTCTTCAACGTTGCCATGGGAGTCTCGGACTTCGCTCAAGTCTCGGACTTCGCTCGAGTCTCGGACTTCGCTCGAGTCTCGGACTTCGCTCGAGTGCCGATTCCGTTACGTATGCTAATTTGAGGAAAGATTTTGGCGCTTGGCTTTTGACGTGCAAGAGCTTTCGCATTATCTCTGATGCAGCATCTCCTCGCCTCTTCTTATCTCGCGTCTTCGGTCTTCATGAATAAGAAGTGTGGGTGGCGAGAGACGAAGGGGGGATTGTGGGTGCCGAGATTGTGGGTTAAACGAAACCGGATGTTTTTAAACCGGTTCGCGAAAATCGGTCGATCAACCGGCGACACGGTCGCACTGAGGAAGCATTCCATTGTCTTCTTCGGATTTTTGGCCTTAATGGGTGGCTCAGGTGAGTTTCCCTGAGAATAAAATTATCATAAAATTATCATTAAATTATCATAAAATCATAATAAAATTACCATAAAATTACCCCCGGGAGACGGATCCCGCAGGAATGTTGAATAAATCCGCGAGAAAAATCTCCTCTAACGACCTCGTAAAGGATCCGCGATCCCTCACACAATACGTCGCACTTCGCAGTCATTCTCGTGCAAAATGAAGACTTGCCTCCCGAAAGTGTTTTTGCATTGCTCATTCGCGCGCAAAATTCCAAGAAAATATTCCAATCCGGCATTCACAGTCCAACGGCACTCCGATATGAACGGCTTATAATAGTACGTGACGCATGCAAACGGAAGGGACTCTCAGCACCCTAACATAAAAGACTCTCAGCACCCTAACATAAAAGACTCTCAGCACCCTAACATAAAAGACTCTCAGCACCCTAACATAAAAGACATTTACGGCAGTTTTTCCCTCTCTGTCCTTGAGAGCGAATGAATGCAGGATGGATTTTTTTTTTTTAAATCCGATAAGAAGAATGGAAAACTTGTGCATTGTCTGGTCACGTCTTTCCTCCACTCCACGAAATGGGGAAACTTTTCTCTCTCATGTTTACAGGGCATGTTTTATCGAATTTTCTCATCGACGAAGACTGCGAGTGCATGTTTGAAATGCGCCTGTTTCCAGTCCTGTTTGAAATGCGCCTGTTTGCAGTCCTGTTTGAAATGCGCCTGTTTGCAGTCCTGTTTGAAATGCGCCTGTTTCCAGTCCTGTTTGAAATGCGCCTGTTTCCAGTCCTGTTTGAAATGCGCCTGTTGCAGTCCTGTTTTCGGACATCGTGACGTTCACGGAGATCGCGTCCCTCAGCACGCCGAACGACATCGTGGACATGCTCAACGCTCTCTACACCCGATTCGACAAACTCACCGAAATGAACCAGGTCTACAAGGTGAGCGAGAATTCACTCTTGAGATGGGTGAGAAGGGGGTCGGAGAGAGAAGGGGGTCGGAGAGAGAAGGGGGCGAAGTGTTGGAAACGATTACTGTCTTCAGCGCCGCCAACAAAAGACAGTCGATTTTTTTTTTTCGTCTTCGGGCTCATCCTTTTCTCTTTGTTTTGCTTCCTTTCATCTTGGGTGGAATTCGGTCGCCCTCCCAGGAGTTGCCGTTCATTCTTGCAAACAGCCCAGTCAAAAGCCTTCGTTGGTTTATAGTTGGTTTATCGATGGGAAAGTTGGCTCATTTCCGAGAAGGTTCCGGAAAAAGGCGCGAGATGGAGTCATAGTGGTCGTTGATGGGAGTCGCTTCCCGGATTCGGCTGAAATGAGTTCCCTGTCTCTTCGAAAGGGTTGGCCGTGGTTTCTCGCGTGGATCTCAGAGGAAGGCAATTGAATACCGTGAAACATTTCTCTGAAGATGTTAAGTTAGCCCTGGAATAAGCCAGGGAATTCCGGCCTGGATCCTTCTGCTTTCCACCAGAAGATACGCGACCTCATGAAGATGCAATAAGGAGCCAAGGGAGAAATTCTTATCTCTCTAAGATGCATGATGCCGTCGATTCAGTTCGTGTTTTTTTTTCCCCACATCTTTTCACCGTTGTGAAAAGTTTGCTTACGGATGGGGCATGTGTGGTTCCGCAACCATGAGCCAAAGTTGACCCGACGGAGGGCCAACAGGACATGCCGGGCATAAGCCGGCTTAAACGAGCCATATGCTCATATGCTAGTGGTGGCCCAACTGAAGCTTATATACGCGTCGACGAAAAGCCATCAATGAAAATATTTTTCCTGGGAATTCCTCCGATTTCTCAATGGAGGACACGATGGGAATCTATATTTAGGATTCCCAGAAACGAACTCGGCTGTCTCAAGCTAAATGAAGATGAGCGCGTCAAGGGATGTTTCGGAGAAGTGACGGTATTAATTTAATTATTTAAGGCGCCGATATCTCTCATGAGATGAAAGGGAGATGGCCAAATCCGATGGGATCGCCTGATCGCGTCCCAGGATGAAACCGGCGCCGATCGATAGAGTACCTCGGGTAGTGCATAAGTGTGGATGGTCACACCGTGATCCGAGGTCATCCTCATCCGAGGTTGTTCTCATCCGAGGTTGTTCTCATCCGAGGTTGTTCTCATTCGCTAGAGGGCGAGAAAATCGGGGAATATCGTTTTGCCGATTCCCAAATATGACGGATCTATTCCTACTAAATCGGACCTGTAGAATCGAATGGCGACAGTCATTAAGCCATGGAAGAAACTATTGCCATCGCTACGCATAAACCAACCACCGACCATGAACGTCCGCTGTGACATGGATAGGCGAGGAGCTCTAGGGAAGACTTAAGAGGACTTGGAGGGCCTCCTCCCTCGGGAGCCGACGACGAGCGGGTCTCCCCCGCCTGATGCAACCCCCAACGACCTCCGGTTATTCAAATAACGACATCAGGTTATGCACTTCGTGTGCTGGATGCTCCATGGAAGGAGCTTTCCTGGAGGATCCGCCGCTCCTCTAAGAGGAGAAAGCGCTTTCTTGTGGAGAAATCTGATTTTCATCTCATTTTTTGCTATAAAATAAACCCGATCGAGGGCCAAAACTGTTAGGTGCTGTTCGCGTGTTATGGCAGTTATGTGGTGCCTCGGATATGCCTAGTCAAAAGTTTTTATTCGAGCAATCGGTGGCTTTTCGTGGGAACGTATAAATGGCTTAGTTGGGCTTTCACTGGCATTTAGTTGGCTTGCGGTCGGGCATGTCCCATTGGCCCTTCATCGGGCCAACTCTGGCTCATTGTTGGGAAGTCGCAAGTGCCCCAACCATGAACCAACCCAGATAGCCAATCTTCATGGGGCCAAGCATGGCACATCATCGGCAAGGTGCTTGGACCACCCTTGGCCGCCAGCGGTGGGCCAATCCCGTAATGTCTCATCGCCCAGCGGATAACCAATGAATCGGGGCAAGAATGGCCCAATATTGGCAAAGTGTTTGGGGCTTTCTTGGTTGCCAAAAATATCCCAAATTTAGCAATTTAGATTTAGCAAAAGTGTTCCCTTTCCTCTTTCCTTTTTTAATCGTGCAATTTATAAACATATGAGGAAAGCGTGGAATTATTTGCAATATATTACTCAAGGAAGTAATAAATGCTGAAGTATGGCAATACAGAAGTGTATTGAAATAACCAAGGGTAAAGTGAATAAGTTCTTTCGCATCATACGTCTTGAATATTGAATAACACAGTAGACCTAGAGTCCCACTCACCCCCCCCCCCCCCCCCACCCCCCACCCCCCACCCCCCTCCTCCATGGTTCCGTATTGGATGCGGAAGAGAGGAGCAATGGGAAACCCTGGTACTCCGGGGTACTCTTCTGAGAACGCTTGAGCTCCGAGTTTGAGAAATGAATCAGATATACATGGGGGTAGTAGTTCAATTCTCAGCTGTTGGTGCACCACCAAGGAGCTACTTGGTAATGTGTTGGCCCTATAGCGGGTGGTGGTGGACCAGGTGGTGGACCGGTGCTGGCAAGTGAGACATGCACCTGGTAGCCCGCAATCTAGTAAAGGTGATGGGCCACCAGCTCTCCTCTCCCGATGGCCCACTACTTTTGTGCTACTTGGACAGTTATTATTGGCTCTAAAGAATATTCTTGAGTTTGAATTGGTGCTCATCTCCACATTGTTGCCTCATATTTAATTTAAAATAATGAATTATGTGTTACTGAATTTTGGAACAACCTGTATAACAAAAGACACACGTAACGAATCCTGCAGGTGGAGACAATCGGCGATGCATACATGGTAGTGGGCGGAGTGCCGGAGGCAGTGCCGGATCATGCAGAGAGGGTGGCGAGGCAGGCGTTCGGGATGATCCGCGTCTCGAGGGAGGTCCCTTCTCCCGTCACGCAGAAGCCACTTCAGGTAGAGTGCGGCTGTGTGCATGGCGTTCGCGAGGATGGCCGAGGGTGGATGTCGTCCGCGGGAGGATGCACGGCGTCCGCGAGGATGGAGGCGGGCGGACGTCCACGGGGTTGGATGGTTGGCGCTGTCAGAACGAGCGTGTTTGATGGCAGATCCGAGTGGGGATTCACACGGGGTCGGTGGTGGCGGGGGTGGTCGGGGAGAAGTGTCCGAGGTATTGCCTCTTTGGGGATACGGTCAACACTGCGTCGAGGATGGAGTCGCACGGGTTGCCGGGGAAGATTCACATCAGCCCCGAGACGTACAAGTAAGTCGAGCTCCGTGGGGGGGGAAAAGGAAGTCATTCTTTCAAATGTATGGGATTTGTTGAGACCTCGACCATTTCAAGCGAGATCTTCTAAAGAAATGAGTAGCTAAGGTGAAATTCAGCTAATCCCAGGAGAAAGATGCTTATTCCCACTTTTTCATCCTCACGGGACGTGTTTCAACGACGTTATTCTCACATGATTCGGTCGAGAATCGTCACGACGTCGAGTCGGTCTCGCCCAGTGTTCCTGGTTTTTGGTTCCGTCTAAATGAGACTCTCCATGTTGTGAATTGTTTCCTTTCGCGTCAGGCTAATCGGATCTCTTGGTCCTTGGAATTTTGGCCAAGAGGCTAGGAAGAGGCTGATGGAGACGTGCATTCAGAATTATGAGACTGATGATTAGACCGCGGGGTCGGAAGCTGATACATCTCAGGAACACATTTTTGCGACAACATGATGTGACTTTCTCGTGGGTCACGTGGGTCGTGGGTCACGTGGGTCGTGGGTCACGCAGGTCGTGGGTCACGTGGGTCGTGGGTCACGTGGGTCGTGGCTTTTATTCTTGGTCTCGGAGATCATCGACCCATGTTATTCCTATCATATGAAGTGAACATCATGTGTGAAAAGAGGAGGTTAATCGGATGCAAAAGGTACCCCGAAGGTTACAAATTGTGAATTACCGGTAAGAAGGTGGTAAAATATCGTGGTGCAATTCGGTAACGGTGGAATTCAAACAGCAAAATACGCAAAAAAATGAAAATTCCCCTTTTTACACTTCAGTTTTACCATCCAAGTTTTGCATGAGGTGAAAGAAAAAATTTGCTTCATACTCAAAATAATGTTGCATTAATTTTGAAATTATACGGAATCAATAAAGGAAAGACGTTTCTTCGCAATAAACGTGCTTTTGCCTCCTGTTTTCATAAACGGTATACTTATAGTAATATAATAACTTATAATAATGTAATAGGGGTCCAATGGATCCCGCTGCCCGGTTACGTTCGTCCTTGACCTTGCCCGGATGAGGGTTAAATTACCGTTTTTAACAGCCCATACAGAATATACTTGTAACGCAGTCGAACTGACACAACTTACACATTTCCGTCGGTGTTTTCGTCTTTCCTCCCGGAAGATGCTTGGCGCCGAAGAACTACAAGATGGTGGAGCGGGGAACCGTCGCCATCAAGGGAAAGGGATTCATGACCACCTACTTCCTCCTCCTCCCGGAGGAGGAGCTGCCTCCCCAGTCGGCCTCGAGGCGGGGCCGGCCTCGTCGCGGCGACTGCAAGTGGCACTGGATCATGCGGCGGCACAACATCTATCCGGCTGGGAATCCCGATCCCGCGCCGCCGAGCAATTTCTGCACCTTGCTGTGATTCCGTGTCTTCGGTGGGATCCATTCACCACGGTGGGATCCATTCACCACGGTGGGATCCATTCACCACGGTGGGGTCCATTCACCTCGGTGGGATCCATTCACCACGGTGGGGTCCATGCACCACGGTGGGGTCCATGCACCACGGTGGGGTCCATCCACCTTGTAGGCAATAGAAGCATTTTCTTCCGGCACTTTTTACCATTCCACTTTCGAGTGCTGCCGCGATTCCCTTTAAAATCCCGACTGGAAACGGTTGAAATTTCTAGCTGGATCTCGGCTGTGAATTCTATTTTATTCTTGAGAGTGATTAGTACAAAATTGCTGTGAAATCCAGTATAAAACTACAGCCATATGAATCTAGTTTTTCTGCTGCGATGAATCTGAATATTCGGCTGCGGTCCAGTCGGAGAATTCCAGCTGGGATATTATGTAAGCCAATAATTGTTCTTGCTGTGAAGGTGGATTCATGTGTGGGAAAGAGAAGCTCAGATCAACGGAAATTAATATTTTTATCGGATCGGAAAACATGAATACAGTACGATACCACTAATTTGATTTTTAATTTGAAAAAAAATCAAATAAATTCATCGTTTTCAAACATCGTACCTGCGTTTTCATTTTTAGTCGAATTAATTCACGATCGCCAGACGGAAATGAAATCGCCTTCGTCAGATGACGGCAAAATTTTGAAATTTCATTTCTGGACGTGGGAGACCGATTGGCATAATGATTATCCTAGTAAATCCTCGAAACCCATGGGATCAATGGAGACAAAGGCACTCTTGTCAGAAATATCGCCTTAATCTAATTAATCTAATTAATTAAATATCGCTGAGAACTGATAGTTGAGAGGAGAGTCGGGATCAGAAGCGGGGAAAGATTTCTTCCGGGCATTTTCAACTCGTTCCGGATCATTTCATCGTTGGAGTTCGTGAGTGAATTTCGTCAGACCGTGCTGAATTCGGATCCAAAGCCTCCCCGAGCGTTGCTAGGGGGGGAATGCGAGGGCATGCTGGATGGATCCGAGACGTCGCGTGGGGGCTGGGCGGGGATTTAACGCCTTATATATGAGTGAAGGTGAATTGAGAGACGGGAGGGATGGAGGTGCGGAGACGGCAGGAGAGGGGAAACCGCCGGCCGTGGTTGTGGGTGCCGTGGTTGTGGGTGCCGTACCCATGACTAGATTCCGGATTCGAAGGGGTCTTGCACTCTGCCAGCGTCTGGGTTGGGGGATCATGGGGGCCTCCTCCGCGTGGGAGCGGGGCTCGATGTTCATTTAGCTTCAACTTATTTAAGTGAATAAAAAGCTACATGGGAATCATTCATGAATTACTTGCGAAGGGGGGAACCGCGGGGGAAAAGGGATGAAAGGATGGAATGAGATTAAATAAAACGGGATGTGGGATCTGTGCATCGCATTCCGGAAAATCCAGGTGTAAGACGTGTAGGTAGTACGCACACGCGGGCAAGAACAGATGGGAACGGATCTGCACGTTTTCGGACGCATTCGCTGACGCACGCCGACGCACGCGGCTGCGGAATTCTTTTGTTCGCGCATTCTTTCTTTCGTCAGGCGAGATTCGGTCGAGGCGGAGCGATGCGATTAAAAAATCCTGCAGGTGGGAGCGTCGGCGATTCCAACGTTTTCCTGGATTCTCGCGGTTTCGACCGAAGATGGTCTTCGAAATTCCAGGTGGGAGAGCGGCCGGGTCATTCGCGGCAGCTGAGGAATGCGGCAGGCTGAAAAATGCAGGAAACTGAAGGAAGCGAATTGTCCTGAGAAAATTAGCTAATTCGGTGTCGGCGTGCAGTTTTTTGTGTCAACGGGTTCACATATACTCCACCAGATGGCAGTGCCATCTGGCCTCTGAGATCGAGGTCCTGACATCAGGAAAATTCTGTGGAGCTTCCGGTCATTCAAAAAAAATTCAAGCGGCCTCGCCACTGAAAGGGTTAAGAGCAGCTCTCGTCACTTTCAGCTCCGTTTCGCGGAGCCGCGAATCTTTAGGGAAGGTCGCAGACTTTTTCATCCGGGGACCTTTTCCCCATGCGGTTGCGCCCGCACGAGTCAGCTCTGTCCTTTAAAAGCGCGTAAAAGCGGTCTTACCTCTTCAGCTGACATTTAATTTAAAGTACCATTTTTCAGGAAACCAGGACTCAATGCAATCACATTTCGAAGCGATGGCCTTTGGTGAGCCGAATGGTCCTCATGTGGTCCCTTCGTAATGGTGTCCCTTCGTAATGGTGCTTCCTCCAAACGAATCACTTTTCCAAAGTTGGCAATCAAAGGAGTCTGCCCGGTTTCGGCCCTGAAACCGTTCCCGAAGATATGCGTTTATTTCAAGAATGCGTCCTCAGCCATTATAATTTCGCTTTTTTTCTTCCTAGTCTATTTTCCTCTTCTCTTAAAACTGTTGAAAGTATGTGTTCTGATGGAAAAATTCATGCGAGAAAACTGGAACGTAACCTAACCTAACCAAACCAAACTTTTTCAAACCCTTCAGATTAGAGTAAAAGTGATATTTTATTACTCTGCAAAGGACATCCTTTCCAAGAATATGGCAACAAGAACATGCACAGGAAAATAATCAGACGAGGAAAAAAATTATGCCGGGTGGAAGCGCGGCGATTCTGCCGTGCGGTTCGCCGAATTTTGAGAGGGTTTTTCATCTCGAGGGTGAGTGATGCGGAGTTCCTCTCCTGACCTTGAAGGTCAAGAAGTGATCTTTGCTCACGGGGACGCTGAATCCGGGAGAAGGTGGCCAGAGTGTCATTTTCTCCCCCCGTCTTCATCCGTCTGTCATAAAGAAACTGAGGAATTTTATGAAGGAGGAAAAGTTGAGCTTCGGATGGTTTCTAAGATTTGTCAAGTCGACATCACTCGAGCCGGCACGAGCTCATATTTTCCTTCCCTTCAAAATCCTGAGGAAGCCACGACCGTGGGAAAACGGTGACCGGTCTCGAGGTTTGCTCTCCACTCGTTTCATTTTCCTCAACTTCGGTTGTTCCTTCCGTCCCGAAAGAGTAACAAGGTTCAAAATGGAGATTGGCCCCAGAATATGGCAATATGGGCCAAGAAGTACCAGGAAACTGTTGTATCTGAAGTCGAGGTTGAAGCTAGCAGCCAAACTCGAAGCTTTCCTATGCCTAAACGTATTCCAAATACGAATGTATTGGTACATCGAGTTCCCTTTATGCCTAAGAAGGAGAAGATCGGGGTGTCGTTTTTCCTCATTCGGAATGGGCCTCCCGTTCGCATCTTTTAGAGGAACAGAAGAGAATCTGGTTTGTTTGGGGAGGGGGGGGGGGGGTAGCGTTGCTAGAACATATGAAGCTCTGCATGCATTGAACAATTGCAGAGTTCGCATAATGCAAAGCCTACACGTGCCGGCTGGCTTACATGAAGCACCTGGTATGACGTTCACCTACTGGAGGCCGCGTTCCACTACAGTATATAAGGCAGTCCGCTCGACATCCATGGCAGTAGCCCCACTGCGCTCTAGTCTGAGCTCATGTACACTTCCAGTACATTCTCAGCTCTTCTGTCCTTGAAAGGAGTATGTTCTCCCTTTCTCTTCTCTCTTTCTCTTTTTCTCGTCATCTTGTCGCCAGTAACACTTCACTGGAAGGCAACTTTCAGTCTGGCCAATACAGAAAATGTCTTTACTGTCTCTCCGTATTTTAACTCTGCGTGCGCACCCAACGAGATACCGAACTTATTAGGCTCTTTTATCATTTCAGACAATGAACATCCATCTCACCCTTCGAGTACTGCTGGTAGCATTCGTCCTGGCTCTGGCTCTGGAGTCAGTCGATGGCAACGTGATACCTACCTACAATGATTGTCTAAACGCCTGCAAGAAGGGACGCGATGGTGTGAAGACCTTCTGCCAATCCATCAACAACATTCCACAGAGCTTGAAGGACACTTGCTCCACCGTCTCCAAGATCGTTCTGGCCCCTCTCTTCTCCCTCGCGTGCAAAGGGTTGTGCTTTGACTATAAGCTTCAGCTGCCCCTCCTTTCGCTGATTGGCTGAAAGCGTACTTGGTCCTCGTTGAGGGACAAGATCCAAGAGAAATAAAGAACGGCTACCGTCAAATTCATGAGACTATTTCTTCCTGGCGTGAATCGATGCCGCACGAAACATGGTAGAATTCTGTTTATGCGCACTTTCGTCGCAGGACGACTTATATTCGAAAAGCTGTGGAATTTAAGTGAAAATTATTAGACGGTTTCAATTCCAAAATCTAATCCATCAATATTTTCATTATTCGCCTGAGGACTACTGTATTTGGAATTTCTGCCAATGACTGCGTCCGAGCAGTCCTGTGAATCAATTAGCGTAGCCAATTGCACTTGTATCGGTCACATCTGGGGTGTTATTCTTCTCTACGAACGTTTATTTGCTTCTCAAGGGCAACATCATGTACTTCAATGAAATTACAAAGGTGATCGATATGGTTAGCCTTTTTTTACGGTCGCAAAGGCAGGTTCCTCACGTCTCGACCTGCCCCCTATGGTCAATCGTTATGCAGCTTTCATTTCGTGGGTGAATTTATGCGTGAAGATGTGACCGTGAAAAAGAGTCCCTGATGTTATTTTTTCATTGCGTTTCTCCAATCCATCAGTGACCCTCCATAGGACTTGGACACTTGCTCCATCATTCCCATAGTCTTTCTCACCCCTATCTTATTCCTCGCGTGCAAAGGGTTCTGTCTGGATAACAAGCTTCAGCTGCCCGGGCTCGTGTTTCTAGGCTCAAACTGTCCTTGGTCCTGTTTGACGGAAAAGGTGCAAGGGAATTATAAAAAATGTCAACCGTGAAATTCATGAGACTATTCCTCATTGTATAAACCGTTATCATATGAAGTAGTTCTCAATTTTGTGCAGTTTCTATTAGGAGATTGAGTAATAGACTATTATAAAAGTCATAAATTGGTTGGCGAATGGCAACAATTCGGTGGTCCCACTTTGAAAATCTATAAATCATTTTGAGGATATACCGGTGTAGTTGTGCAAGTTCTACTCTTGGCTGTGCCAGACAGGAACTAAAATCAGTTAAGTCTGCCACCGATTGCAGTTGCATCGAACACATTCGGGGTGTAACACCTCTTTTAATGTTTTTTTTTCTGATCCTCAAGGAACTCATAATTAACTTCCACGTATTTGCGATGGCGATTGGATTTGTCGGAAAATTATATGATGAATGACGGAACGACAGTTTGCTCCATTCGCGCCCGGTCCCCTGATTTAAGGATTCTGAATTCCTGGTTTCAAATATGTGATTTTTTTTTGTACAAATGAACGGGTTGGTCATGAATCACATTTTGGTGCGTCATTTCAAGTATTTTCTCCCTTGATGCATGCGTTCCCTGAACGTGAAAAGTTTGCTCGAGAGTTTCGAGAAAAGTTTCGAGAGAAATTATGTCCTCTAGTGCAAATAATGCACAGGACAGGTCTTAATAGCCACCTAGTGTGCGCGCGATGGTTGTTACTTTTTTTTTCGGCTTCGTCATCGACTCGTGCGCAACTATATATGTTACGGGACGCAAGAAGAAAGACTCGGATATCAGTTTCTCCGTGAGAACACAGTTCTGCAATTGTAGATGTCCGATCAAGCCAAAGGATATGGAATGAGCGAAAAATGACCGGAAAATCGTGTCTCTACTCTCCCTTATGATCCACCATTGTATAAAGCAAGCGGGATTCTTTTATGGATGTGAAATGGCAGAGGGGATCATCGCGGGACCAAAAAGTCTTGATTTTCTAAAAGGAGTTCGACATTGTGTTCATGTGCGAGAGGAAGGAGAACATTTTGAATGCCTCTATGGAAACTTGTCGTTCTGCAAAATCCAGTCAGAAAAACCGGATGTTTCGGGTAAATCCTTCCCAATATACTCGACCAGTGGTGCACTTGATCATTTTGGATTTCGCGATGTGAATTCTCAGCGATTGCAGTCGCTCCGAAGACCTCTGAACGAAATAATGGGCCCCATCGATTCAGCGAATAGCGAAATATTCCCCCCCTCCCCCTAATCTTGGGGAAAAACGGAGAAACCCCATGATGGGAAAAATTCATTCTCATGAACCGTTCATTGCCCTAGGGCGTGCAATAGCTTGAATGAGAGCCCATAAATGGGGGAACTATTTTCCCCGTGCATTCTCGGAGTCTGAGTGAAAATCTAGCATCAAAGTTTAATTTGAAAATGGGACATTTATGTAATTTTCACTCCCCAAAATCTCCATTGGGCGAGGGACAATGCAACATTTTCGGTATGTTAAGTTGTAGTCTTCTTCCATATACATCGATGAAGCACATTCCTTGTTCGCCATTTTGGCCATGACATAAAGAAAACGTTATATTGAACATAGAATTTTCTCATTTTTTGTCATTTTTGTCGAGAATTCTTAAATGTGGCGGAGCACTTACGGTATCATGGGTAGTGTGGGAGCCAATATTAACCCTATATTGGCAATATTGCCCAAGACGTAGCCAAAGTACATAATGTCGCTCCAGTAATGAGCCAATAGCTGGCGCTATTGGAGTATATCCTGCACTAATGAAGTGCCGAAAAATGGCTAGCCAAAAAAGACCCATGTATTGGCTAAGCGTGCCTGCCAATACCGACGATCTGCCGCCGAATGAATGTACTTGGCCTTTACGAGCTCGGAAGAATTAAAACTCTTTAATTCCTTTGAACGTATACTTGCGACATACATTTTCCCCCCACATTTTTTTTTACGCGAGGAAGTTTTCGCCCTGCAGTACGATTCTGGCATCTGTTTGCTCACGAACTAGCTTGGTTGGCTAGTCGAAAACGTTTTCAGTTATGCTATGGAAATTCTAATTATGTATGCATCAGTGTGCACCTTCATTGTTCTTCATAAATGAATATGGCTTCCTCACGTCAAAGTCAGAGAGTGCACAATTGAAGAAATAATAAAACTGCTAAGAATATGAGGCACGAATGAAGAGATATGAACAATCGCTTCCTTTGGACATCAGAGAAAATAAATAAAAATACAATCTCCAAAAAAACGCAATTAATTTTGAACTTGTTCTTTTCCCCATTGCAAGCATTTCCCTAAACATATTCAGCATGGGGGGGGGCTGTATTTTTATGTAAGAATATTCAGGCGTTCAACATTTGGATAAATATTTGCTTGCGAGAGCATATCATTATTCCACTTTGTCATTTTCGTTTGCATGGCCCCCGTTTTCAGTCCAATAAGGCATTGGATGCCTTCAAACTTTTCATTTTTAGCAACATACAAGTGAAAAATGGCATTCCCTAAAATGTCTCTCGCTGAAAGATTCAATTGCTTTCCATTCGTTCTGGTCTTGCCATCGACTCTGCAAAAATCTGCCGCGTTCCAAATGTCCAACTTCCCAAATGAACTTAAGCGCCCGGATGCAGTTTCATTTTATTTACATGCTCTGCAATATATGGGGGCCTAGATCAATGGCTCATACTTTCCTTTTTCTTCAAGGCTGGATGGACTTGAAGCAATGTTTTCCTCATTCGAGACCCATCCAGAATTGTCTCCTCTGGGGAGAGATCTGGGTTGCGTGGGATATATTTTTTTTTACTTAAACAATTGCAGATCTGCAAGTTTCGCACAATGCCAGTTCTGCATATGCCACTTACGTCAAACCCACCACCTACGTAATGCAGATAGAATGACGACTATCTACTCGACACCACTCCACACTATATAAGGTAGTACGCTCGAAACCCATGACAGTAGCCCAATGCGATCTTATCTGTCCTCATCTACACCTCCAGCACGTTTTCGGCCCTCATCTCTCCGAAAAGAGTAGGTTCCAGATTTTTTTTATCGTCTCTCTTCCGCTTTTTCTATTACGGGAATCTTCATCCAGCCGACATTAGGCGTTCATGTCCCGACATCTTTTCTTTCTGCCGTTCAGAATGTCGTTATCCATAACCGGTAACATTAATTTTATTATTGCAATACTGAATAGCTACTTCATAAAATGCCGGGTTTTTCTTTTCCAGACCATGAATACTCAATTCACCCTTCAAGTACTCCTCGTAGCATTGGTCCTGGCTCTGGCTCTGGAGTCAGTCGATGGCAACGTGATACCTACCTACAATGATTGTCTAAACGCCTGCAAGAAGGGACGCGATGGTGTGAAGACCTTCTGCCAATCCATCAACAACATTCCACAAATCCATCAACAACATCCCACAGAGCTTGAAGGACACTTGCTCCACCGTCTCCAAGATCGTTCTGGCCCCTCTCTTCTCCCTCGCGTGCAAAGGGTTGTGCTTTGACTATAAGCTTCAGCTGCCCCTGCTCTCGCTGATTGGCTGAAAGCGTACTTGGTCCTCGTTGAGGGACAAGATCCAAGATAAATAAAGAACGGCTACCATCGAAATTAAGAGACTATTTCTTCCTTGTGTAAGTTGATATCGCACGTATTAGTGAAATTTTTTAAACATTATTTTTACCATAAATCAATTTACAAAAGATTTCGAATGTTCGGTAAATGACGAAAGGCGGTTTCACTTGCAAACCTGAGTCTATATGAATACACTCGCCTTCAGATTACTGCATTCGTAATTTCTATACTTGGCTGCACTCTAGGAGAACTTATTGTTTATCAGTGGGCATCGCAGCCGGTTGCACTTGCAGTCGATCACATCTGGAGTGCCCTTAGAAAACGTCCACCGTGGGGGACGAGGGGGGGGGGGGGGGACGCGAGCGTCCACCTGCGATCAACCTGCCGTCCACCTCCGGTGGACGGTGGTGGGCGTTGTGTAAGGATGACACTGTCCTCTTCCAATATTTCTGTCACTAGCCAAAGACTCTTTTTCCTACACTATATGGTTGTGAGCTTCTTTTTGCTTTGATTTCTTTCCATTGTGTTCTGTATTTGACAGAAGTGTTCTATTTTCAAACATAGTTGAAAGATTTCCTTAAAGTTATGGAATGGAGTTTGCTGCTCATCTCCAACATAGGATTGATGGGAAAATTAGAGTTTCCATTTGAGATTTGAATTTGAGTGCCCAAAAATTCCAAGTATGTATATTAGAAGTTGGAAAATGCAGAGAAACCAGATATCGCTATTCACGA